CCCTCAGCTGGGGTCGGCGCTGAAGATTTCTCCAGTGAGTGTGAACTGGATTCAGCCTCCAGTGGAAAGCAGCACTGAACCTCCAGCAGACACACAATGTAGATTCACACACACACACACACACATTATATATATTATATTATGTGTGTATTAGTTCAGTATGTGTCTATTAAGTTTATAATTCATTGTTTACAGGCCCTTGAAGGTCTTCAAGCAAACATGCCTCACATCACTTCATCATCCAGCAGTTGCTCATGGATAAATTATATATATATATATATATATATATATATATATATATATATATATATATATATATATATATATACACACACAAAATTTGGCTATTGGCTGTTTTAAACTTAAACAACAGCAATGTTTTTAATAATTGTGAGCATAAAACCAGTATATGGGTAAGAATAACCAACAATAACATGATCAACTTTAATTTCATGTCATTAAAATATCAAAATATCATGTTCTATGAAGACATTGTGTAAAATCTCTGCGAAAAATTTATTCAGTTTGTATTAGGAATATGCATTTCTAAGAGATTAATTTGATCAATAATAAAGGTGATTTTCTCAATATTTTTATCATCATCAGATTCAATTTTCAATCGATGTATCTCAGCAAAATATTGTCCCAATAAAACACACAGAAATGGTTAATTAATGGGATTAAGAGTCACTATTTATATTTGTTTTATTTGTAGTGAAATATATTTTGTTAAATAGTTGTAATATATGCTTTACTTTATTTTTTGTTTGTAACAAATGTCTATCACTGTATTATATTATATTATATTATATTATATTATATTATATTATATTATATTATAGTACTTTATTCTCATTTCAAAAGTGCACTCTGGCTTTATTAACATATAAATATATTTTTTATTAAATTATGTTCCTGAAAAATCACATTATTTTTATTATTACACAAGCACAAAAATAAATACACCAAATACTTAAATAATTTAGGAATAATTAATTGTTTTAGGCAGTTAGAGTTATATTTAATTAAAGTTATATTTAATTTAATTTTGTATCTTAAATATAGCTTATATTTTTTCTTTCTTTTTTAAATTCTGCATTTTAAGCATTTATTAATTTAAAATCAAATTGTCAGCATAAATCCAGAGTTTTCTCTGCATCATAAATATTAAATCAAAAATGTATTAAACATCAAAATAAAACTATATAAAAAGATTTATAGAATTGAAATAACAAATGAGCACAATTATTTATGTTTTAATGACAAATATATAAATATTGCAGGTTTGTTAAGTGGAAACATAAAGCTGCACTGTTTTAACCCAGCATTATTTTGTTCGTCCATATTTGACACATCGAGCTAAAACAAGCCAGCCTTTTATGTGTGAACTGTACTTACTGTAAGCCACCAAAGTGTGGCGCTCTAAGCTTAGTATTCAATTGATAGAGCTTCTTAACTTTATACCACACATCTAAAATTAAAGTAGATAGTGATTAACTATTAATAAATGTAAAATAGATTTAGAAAGTGAATATTAAACCAACTTATTAGGATCATAAATAATATACAGTTTGCAAATCTGAAAACAATAGTATACTATAATAATATTCATTCATTTTCTTGTCGGCTTAGTCCCTTTATTAACATGGGGTCGCCACAGCGGAATGAACCGCCAACTTATCCAGCATATGTTTTACACAGCGGATGCCCCTCCAGCTGCAACCCATCTCTGGGAAACACCCACACACATACTCACACACTACGGACAATTTAGCCTACCCAATTCACTCATACCACAGGTTTTTTTGGACTTGTGGGGGAAACTGGAGCACCCGGAGGAAACCCACGCCAACATGTGGAGAACATGCAAACTCCACACAGAAATGCCAATTGACCCAGCTGAGGCTCAAACCAGCGACCTTCTTGCTGTGAGGTGAACGTGCTATTCAAATATCATATACTGTAACAATATTATTTTAGTCTGATATTGATGACAAAGTGCTTGAAAAGGCTTATAAATATATAAAATATAAATAAAAAATAGCAAATGAAGTTAATATTACATAAACATCTAATAATAATAATAATATAATCAATACCATAATGCAAAAATGTAATCGTATAATAGAATTAATATTGATGTAATTTAATACATTGAGATGTTTATAAATCATTTAAATATTAAAATATTCTGCATTAATTTATTTTTGAACTAGCATAATATTCTAAAGACATATTATAAACAAAATACAAGCAATTAAGCAACATTATAAAATAAAATAAAAATATTTCTGTAATAATTGCTCTGAAACGTCAGGATTAAGAGCTGTCAATGTGATATTAAATGATTAAATATAAACGTTATTCAGCATAACTCAGTTTAAAAAATAATAAGTATGAGCTATGTAAAACTAATACAAAAAATACAACATTAAATTAATGAATAATATAATACTTGGTGTATTTATTTACAATATTAATTACAATATTTAACACAACCGTTAAAGCAATAAAATTCAGTGAATATTAAAATCACACTAAATATTTGATCTACATTCAAACAAATAAATCCACTAAATGATAAAGAAAATCCAAGATGATCCTCAGGGAGTTTCAGTTTTCAGCGTTTCTTTCTTTTATCTGTAAATAATAAAGTATACGTTAATTAATTAAAAATAAAAACATCAATAATTAATATAATATAAAATTAATATATTATTTTATTTATATAATATTTATAATTTATTAATATAAATGTAATAATATAAACTGAAATAATACAATGAATAATACATATCCACTGAATGAAGTAATAATATTTAAAAATAAAATAGTTCAAATAATTAACTAAATTAGTGCAAAATATCAATAAAACACTGATTGCATCAGATATTTCATCATTTGGCATTTCTTTATGCATTTTTAAACTACGTTACAAGGGAAAACAAGAACTCTTGTTTTCTGTTTAGTCTGTAATACACACGTTCATGGAAATGTTTCTCTATTGCTGCGTCCCAATTTCCTTACTATCCGTCCTCAACAGCATTCAAAAATAGAATTAGCATGTCCCAAATCATAATCTGCGTCTGAAATCATCTACTAATCAAATATGAGCAATTTGAATTTACTATGACCATCAGTAAAGTGTGCTCTATATCAGTGTCTCCCAAAAGTGGGTCGCGGGAACATTTTCAGTGGGTCGAAGAGTGTTTGGTCAAAAAAAACAAAAGTAACATTTTTTACTTATTTTGCTTATGCCAGACTTTTATTATGAAATGCATGCGCGACAACCCTACCGTTTTACAAGTGAAATTTCATTTCATTTTTGCAACAAATAGGGTATATGCCAAGCTAGTGCTGTTCCTATGCTGATACACTTCCGGTGAGCTGTTATTGTGAACTTTTTTCCATTTTATACGGTTCCTTATACAGCATGGATGTTGTAATGTCAATAAAATACATTCAGTTAAATAAACTTTAGCATTTATTTAGTTGCTCAAGCGTAAAACGAGACAAAAAGCTGTTTACTCGCACGCGCCCGTCAGAATCGGCAGGCTAACGCAGAAGCTCCATTGAATATACTGGGGTAAAATAAATGCTCATATTATAAAGACATGGCGGGGGAAATGTAATGTAATGCAGTGCTTCTTGTACAATCTGAGACCCACTTTAAATCGGATATCACTCAGCCAGTGGAAATCGCTGATTTTTAAAGAAAACAGACCTTAAACGCACCGAATTTTGCATTGGCATTCAATTTGCCGGAAGCGCTTAACCCAGGTTACTGGCAAATTAAAAGTCCTATTAGCATGCTTCGGCATATACCCCATATGTCGAAGCGTAAGTACAACCCCTAGTAAGTAAAGTATGGATATATATATTGACGACAAAAAAGACTTAAAGCCTCTGTGTCATATGTAGTGAGGTGCTCTCATAAGAGAAACCTTCCAAATTAAAGCAACACTTAGAAACCAGTAAACATGTTTTATTAACAGTTTATTATTAACAGTATTTATCGTTTTTACTTTGTAATATTTATATCATTTGATCCAATTTGTTAAATGACAGCAATAAAATATTGTTTATTTTTATTATATATAGCCTTGGTGAATTTCTTATGATGTATCTGTCACTACTTTTTTATGTTAATAAATGAATGCAAATTAATTATAATTAATAAAATTGTATTATAGCTCCTAAAAATTTGGGTCGCGGCTTAATGATCATGTAAAAATGTGGGTCCCATGGCCAAACCAGTTGAGAACCCCTGATCTATATAGTATGAATAGGAGTATAATGTAATTTGGACATTCTACACTGTCAGAAATAAAGGTACAGGTGCTGACACTGGAACAGAACCTTTTTTAAAGATACATATTTGTACCCAAATAGTCCAAAGTGGTACCTAAAAGATGCATATTAGTATCCAAATGTACCCAAAAAGTTCCTTTGAGGTACCATTATGAACTTTTGCAAAGGTACTGCCCCAGTGACAGCTCCCGTACCTTTATTTCTGAGAGTGTATATTCAGTATTTGTAAAAATCACATGAGCTACCGAGAGGGGTCTGGATGCAGACCTGGTGCAGTGCAATCTGAGCTGCATCCAATGCTTTTTAATGCGCTCACCTAACCCCACCCCTAACCCTATCTATCACAGTGACATCACCCACTCCATTGAGTGCATTGTGTCTGACATTGCATTGCTAAGTGATGCAATCTCAGCTTGCATCATAAAGGCTGCATCCAGATACTATTGGACCTACCCGCTAATATTACCCACATTACATGATGGTTGATTCTCAATATGCGTTCTTAAGTGATCTTGCATCCCTGTGTTCCAGTATATCTTCATCATCAACCAGTAAAGTTCAGTGATAAAACTCAAGACTACAATAACAGTGGACCCATGACTGAACCCTGAGGTATTCCTGATACAGTGAATGCATCGAATGCAGATTTGAATAAAAAATATTAGATGTTAGTATCAGTATTGTTAGTTTCAAGGATATCTGTAACCTAGTGAGATAAACAGATAAAATTGGCAAACTGAGACGCAGCAAATGTTTAAAACATGAACACACTGACCTGGCGCAACTTGCTTTGGCATCACTTCCTGTTTGGGCAGTTGCGTCCAGTGCAGCGTCACGTCAGAAAGTCCTATTCGGGCCAGAGCAGATTCCAGCTGAAACAAATCTCATTTTTAAAAGGTGAATTATATTATATATATATATATATATATATATATATATATATATATATATATATATATATATATATATATATATATATACAGTTGAGGTCAAAACTATTAGAGATTTAAATTTAATTATTAGAAATTATTAAATTATAAACAATAAAATTATGAAATTTATTAGTAATAAGTGATTTATTTTTTTCTTATTCAAATATTTTCCAAATTATGTTTAACAGAGCAAGGACATTTTAACAGTGGTATATATTATTATTATTATTATTATTATTATTATTATTATTATTAAATATACACACTATTTTACAAAAGTCTTGTCATTGATATCAGTTGTAAGAGCAGCAAATAATAACTGGACTTCTAGTTGATCATCTGTAAAAGTGTCAGATGGTGGATTTCTCTACTGAATCTGTTGATCTGGATCCCAATCATCACCAATACTGCAGAAGACCAACTGTAACCAGCATGAAGCCAAGATTCTCACAGAAAATAGTCAAGTTTGGTGAAAGAGAAATCATGGTTTGGGGTTACATTCAGTATGGGGGCGTGCGAGAGATCTGCAACATGAACAACCTGAGGTATCAAGACACCTGTGCTGCCCATTACATTACAAACCACAGGAGATGGACAATTCTCCAGCAGGATAGCGCTCCTGCTCATACTTCAGCCTCCACATCAAAGCTCCTGAAAGCAAGTAGTGCTCCAGGATTGGCCAGCCCAGTCACCATACATGAACATTATTGAGCATGTCTGGGGTAAGATGGAGGAGGTGTTGAAGATGAACACAAAGAGTCTTGATGAACTCTGGGAGTCCTGCAGGAAGGCTTTCTTCTTCATTCCAGATGACTTTATTAATCAGTGATGTGAGTCATGTCAGAGATGTATGGATGCAGTCCTCCAAGCTCATGATGGAGTCAGACACAATATTCATTCTGTCTCCACTGCAGCAGGACTTTATATTCTATACTGGACATTATTTCTGTTCAGTGATGAGACTTTAGTCTGAGCAGAGCTGTCCTAATCAAATCAGTCAACATCGAGACATGATCAGACTTTATTGAGCTCAAATAAGCAAAATCTAGAGGCCTTTACCTTTCATATAAGACACTTCTGATGCCAAATCATCAACTAGAAGTCCAGTTATTATCTGCTGTTTCCTAAAACTCGAATCGGCAGTGTATATATACATTTTTTTTCCACATACACAAATTCTCAAATCATCCGTGGTGTATAAATCCAAAGATGCATGAAGATGTTTGTACACAAGATTATGTAAATATCAAAGTTTTTGCTTACACTAACTTCAGCATTCTGATGTATGTTCACTCTTCAATTTTCCACACAAAGTTGTATAAATTAGAGCCCTGATAGTAATGTTGTCATGTCAGACTGGAGAATGTTTGCGTGTCTCACCTGGGTCAGGAGCTGCACATCAGAAAGACTAAAGCTAGAGTTGAGCTTCAGTTTTACCAACGACTGCTTCCAACACGGACCTGCAAACACACACACACACACACACACACACACACACAATGCAACAGAAACTATCAGTTAATAAATCTTACAATTCTGCATTTTCTGTCATTGGCATTGAATGTTTTGATTCGGACATTAAATGTTTGTTGACAATATCTGAGACAATATCTTTAAACTTTCATTTAAAACTACACTCATCTCAGAATTGTGGGTGCATTTTGGAAATTATCCATTCATAAAACTGGCTTAAAAGCTCCTATGACATTAAAACACAATAGTATTAGATGTTAGTATCAGTATTTTTAGTTTTAAGGATATCTATAATTTAGTGTGCTCCAAAACAGGGACAACATTTGTTTAGAAAAAAAAAAAAAAACATCCAAAGCTTGCAGTTTGTCCAACACAGGCTCATTCTGAAAGTGTAGTCCCGCAGAAGTTTCTGGATACTGCGAATTATGTAGCCGGAGGTACGCATGGCTGCATTTAATTTTTTAAGCGAACGCTATGGGGCGGTATGACGTCGTTTCTTTTGGTGCTGACCGGCTGACTACTTACCCCTGTGTGGAGGGCTGTCACCAGTTTGTCCAGTTAGCTTATCGTGTACAACGACTGACTTGAGATGCAGAGAGGAGTTGATGATGATGACCGGGTTCGAGTCCGGTGAAAAGTGGTTCCAGAAATCAGGTAAGACAAAAACTGAATCCAAAAAATACAATCAACAAGTGAACAACAGGGTGAGAATTTGGTAAAATCCGAAAACGTGGTAAAAATTAGACAAGAGCTTTTATTTTTCTAGACTGCTTTTGTGACCCAATGGTTGGGTATGGGGAAGTAAGCAGGCGGGTGAATCGGTAAAATTGGTTTGGTGTAATCAATCATTCTGTCATTTAGTCAGTCCACAGCGGCCTCTTGTGGGTTTATGCGAGAACAGCGTGGGCGAGAGACATTTGAGATGCGAAAAAGCACACACAGCGGCCTCTCGCGGATTCGCCAAAACAAAAATTGCAAAAATGCGTACTTTACAGGATGTATTGCGCGGCCTCCAGAAACGTCCATGGGACTACGTTTTCAGAATGAGCCTGGGTTGAGTTTGTCCCTTCCTCCTAAAGCCTCATTCACACTACAAGCGACTCGCAGCAGTGAAGCGACAAGCGACCGTGTATTTCAACGGAGAGCAAGCAACGTCCGGCGACCTCCATCTATGTGAGTGACAGTGATTGTTGGCGACCAGGTGGGCGTGTTGAGCAACGTGACAAAGTTGAGAATCCTTTAACTTTATGCAAATGAAGAGCAACTTTCTTGAGCGACAGCCAATAAGAGCACTAGTAGAGCTCATGTGATCCTCTCTCAGCTCGCTCACAGGCCGGTTGTGTTCATATATCTACACAGACTTGCATTTGCAGCAGGTCACCACCCAGAGAGACAGGCAGCTACAAAGTTGCTGCTTGTAAGAATGAGGTATAAATGGCTGTTCTAAATTCCAAGAACGCAGAGAACGGACTTGCGTTCTTCTGGAGACCGGTCTTGCCAGGAGTCCTCAGAAGAACGAACTCGGGAGAGTGCTGTGAGAAATGAGACGCTGCGTTCTTCCTGATGGTTACATGACCTTCATGTGTTTTGAATGGAATTTCTTTTAAACATTCGACATTCATACAGCGATTTATTGTTTTCCCCCTTTTCAAAATGTATACTCTGCATTAAAACATTGTAAATATGCTCTGCACATTACAAATAAAACAGATTTTAATATGAATTTCAGCAAACACCCTTAATGTGTTTATTCCTTTATTAAGATGTCCATGCTAATGTTTATATTCACCATCTCATTTAGGAAAACTCCTTATGTAAATAAGTTACATCTCTGAACTTTAACAATAAATCTCAGCCCAGGCTCATCTTGAAAACGTAGCCCCGCGGACGTTTCTGGAGACCACGAAATTTGTCCCAGGAGGTACGTATTTGTGCAGTATTTGTTTTTGCGAATCCGCGAGAGGCCACTGTGCGCACTTTTTTTGCGTCTCGAAAGCCTCTCGCAAGCACGTGCGTGCCATTTGAGCCGTCAGCCCAGCCGGCGAGTGCGAAGAGGAGCGGCGTCACACTGCCCAGTAGCGTTCGCTTGAAAAAAACAAATGAAGCCATACGTACCTCCGGCCATGTAAATCGCTGTCTCCAGAAACGTCCGCGGAACTACGTTTTCAGAATGAGCTTGGGTTGATAAATCCAAATTAAATGCCGCACTTCCCACCTCCAGTTGCAATGACTTCTGGGACTTCTCGAGCAAGATCAGTGCTCAAGTCTGCATAGGTGCATCCTCCATATCAAGAACACATCCAGGAAGTTTCACGCATCTTCTGTTCTTGCGGTCTTGAGTATTGTAACTGAACTTTGGCAGCTGATGACGTTAAACGAGAACATGAGGACGCAGGACCGCTAAAGAATGCGTATTGAGAAACAGACATGGTCTTCTCATACTTTAGTTTCTCATCAAATCTTCTGACCAATCCAATGCTCTCGAGTATCTGACATACCCAGGGCTGGAGCTAGCTGAACTGCCGCTCTAGGCAAAGGACGATCACGCCGCCCTCAAACCGAAAGTGAAAACGAAAATGACCGGTTATCAAAGTGAAGAACCCTATTCTGCCGCCCTAGGCGCGGGTATAACTGCGGTCGCGGGTGGTGTGGGAGATGTTCAGATGTCGCCCTCTCTGTTCTGCCGCCCTAGGCGCGGATATAACTGTGGACGCAGGTGGTGCGCGAGGTGTTCGGATGCGGCCCTCTCTGCCGCCCTAGGCGCGGGGATAACTGCGGTTGCGGGTGGTGTGGGAGATCTTCGGATGTCGCCCTCTCTATTCTGCCGCCCCAGGCGCGGATATAACTGTGGATGCAGGTGGTGCGCGAGGTGTTCGGATGCGGCCCTCTCTGCCGCCCTAGGCGCGGGTATAACTGCGGTCGCGAGTGGTGTGGGAGATGTTCGGATGTCGCCCTCTCTATTCTGCCGCCCCAGGCGCGGATATAACTGTGGACGCAGGTGTTGCACGAGGTGTTCGGATGCCGCCCTCTCTGCCGCCCTAGGCGCGGGTATAACTGCGGTCACGGGTGGTGTGGGAGATCTTCGGATGTCGCCCTCTCTATTCTGCCGCACCAGGCGCGGATATAACTGTGAATGCAGGTGGTGCGCGAGGTGTTCGGATGCGGCCCTCTCTGCCGCCCTAGGCGCGGGTATAACTGCGGTCGCGGGTGGTGTGGGAGATCTTCGGATGTCGCCCTCTCTATTCTGCCGCCCCAGGCGCGGATATAACTGTGGACGCAGGTGTTGCACGAGGTGTTCGGATGCCGCCCTCTCTGCCGCCCTAGGCGCGGGTATAACTGTGGTCGCGGGTGGTGCGGGAGGTGTTCGGATGCCGCCCTCTCATTTCTGCCACCCTAGGCAGCCGCCTAGGTTGCCTCTATGGACGCGCTGGCCCTGGACATACCCCACCCCCTTCTTCCCATAGGCTGTTCATTTGATGCGCTTGAGCTCAAACACTCTTACTGGCAGAGCTGTGAGAAAAAACTAAATGCTATTGGCTGCTTTTTAAAGGGGAGGGGCTACTGTATGCCCGCCCTCTCTTCATATTTCAGTTGAGATTATGTCAAACATTGAATTAAAAATGCACATTTGTTACAATCACAGATGAGCATTGATCCTGAGAGCCACCCTGATCACCCGACTCACACCTGCAGCTTCTCCACGATGGACGTCCAGCCTGCGGCGCCTAGACTGCAGCTCTGCACAAGACGTTTGGCCAAAGGAGAAATAGTCAAGCCCAACTGAACCTGGTTTCTCTCGAGATTTTTTACTTTACTTTCATCAATTAGTGAACTTTGTTCCTCCAGTGTCGCCACTGGCTTGCATGGTTCGGGATCTGTAGAGCTGCGCATTGATGGATTTGCTCTTCAGTGTTTGGACTTCAGCAGTGAATATTAAACCACACGGAACTGAACTAAACTGAACTTCAACTCTGACAGTGTTTCAATTCACTATGATCTTCTATGTTAAGCTGCTTTGACACAATCTTCACTGTAAAAGTTCTAGAAAAATAAAAATTAGTTGAATTGAATTGACATTTCAAAGCACCTCACGTGATCTTAAACATTTTCGCACCTTCTACATACACCTCCACTTCACACAGAGTAAGCATCTTTGAGTCTCCGGGAATGAACAGACTCACATATCGACCCTCCATAAAACAACAGAGGAAGGTTGCAGAAACTCCAGCTGGAATACTGGAAATAACAGCACACCTGAAGAGAAAACAGCTTTAGTCTTCAATAACTGAGTAATAAGGGGGTTATTAAAGAGTTAGGTAATGCAAAAATGAATATTCTTATGTTACTAATTATTCACCCTCATATTATTATAAACTAGTTAGACCAGAGTTGGGGGAAACAAATTACAAGTAATGGTAGTTACGTAATAGTAAAACTTTCCTAACAAGTAAAGTAATGCGTTACTCTAACAAATTGAGTAATAATATTTGAGTTACAACAGAGACGCTGGATAAGTTGGCCGCTGTGCCGGATTAATAAAGGGACTAAGCCGAAAACGAAATTGAATGAATGAATAAATGAATGAATTTGATTTACATTCATTCATTCATTTTCATCATCTTTTCCTGGGCTGTCAGCAGTCTTAGGAGAGAACCTCAGACTTCCCTCTCACCAGGCACTTCCTCCAGCTCCTCCGGGGGAATCTCAAAGTGTTCCCAGGTCAGCCGAGAGACATAGTCCCCCTAGCGTGTCCTGGGTCATCACTGAGGCCTCCTCCCGGTGGGACATGCCTGGAACACCTTCCTAGGTAGGCGTCCAAGAGGCGTCCGAAACAAATGCCCGAGCCACCTCAGCTGACTTCTCTCAATGTGGAGGAGCAGCGGCTCTACTCCGAGCTCCTTTTGGGTGACAGAGCTCTTCACCCTGTCTATAAGAGTGCGCCCTGCCACCCTGCGAAGGAAGTTTTTTTCGGCCACTTGTATCAGAGATCTTGTCTTTTTGGTCATGACCCAAACCTCATGACTATAGGTGAGAGTAGGAATGTAGATTGACCAGTAAATCGAGAGCTTTGCCTTTCTGCTCAGCTCCTTCTGTACCACAACAGACTGGTACATCGACCGCATTACTGCTGCTGCATCACACTCACGCTCCATCCTTTCCTCACTCATGAACAAAACCCCAAGATACTTGAACTCCTTCATTTGGGTTAAAGACTTTTCTTCAACATATATAATTCTGACTTCAACTGTAATGTATTAATGAAAGGAGCGTCTCACATGGGGTTGTTGGTGCCGTTGTTCTCCAGAGAGTTTCCGATGTGAATCTGGGCTCCGTTTATTCGGTCTGCGACGCTGTTGTTAATGTTAGTGATGATTACTCTGCTAACGCGGTAAACGTCCCCCAGATCCACCCTCCACCACGGGTTACTTTGGTTAGCGGTGGACGAACACACTGACCATAACTTTGGCCCAGTTCGAGAACCATCGACGGCTCTTTCTGCAGACCAAAACCCAAAACTGGACGACTGAGAGGCGTTTCTCTTTAGCGCCAGATTATCTGCAGAAAAAAGGAACAAAATTATGATTCCAGCAAACAACGAATGTTCTCAAAATGTTCTGAAAAGGTTGTTTTAAGGTTAGTAACAAATGTTCTTCCAGTAATATAATTTGCTCTTTAAAGGGATAGTTTACCCAAACTTTATCTGCCATCAGAACTCTCACCCAATTTGTTCCTGTAGAATTTATTTTTCAAACAAAATCAGTAAATTGGTGACACAAACTCCAGCAGCGAGGGATGCAGTAGCTGAAGAAGGATTCACCTTGCTTTGATTGAACTCTTGAAATTTCTCATGATCTGATGATCTGAAAGGGGCTTGACGCGGTGGCGCAGAAGGTAGTGCTGTCACCTCACAGAAAGAAGGTCGCTGGTTCAAGCCTTGGCCGGGTCAGTTTACATTTCTGTGTGGAGTTCGCATGTTCTCCTCGCATTCACGTGGGTTTCCTCCGGGTGCTTTGGTTTCCCCCACAAGTCCAAAGACATGCGGTACAGGTGAATTAGGTAGGCTAAATTGTCCGTAGTGTATGAGTGTGAATAGTGCATATGGGTATTTCCCAGTGATGGGTTGCAGCTGGAAGGGCATCCGCAGCGTAAAACATTGGCAGTTCATTACGCTGTGGTGACCCCGGATTAATAAAAGGACTAAGCCAACAAGAAAATGAATGAATGAATAATGATCTGAAGGATTAGATAGGTTTGTATTCAGGAGAGTTGGGTATTGTTTAGGGTTATTTCAATATACCGGTGCTAAATCAATACTTTTAAAATGGTACCAGTGCAAAAACTGTGCCTGAACCAATACTAAGTTATGGTGGACAACTGTAGAAAATCTCTTATTGGACAAACAACATAATAATAATTATTATAATTTTAATAAAGCATATTTCATTAAGGTTTAAAGTACACATCAGTTCATATTTGATATATTTGAACCAAATTGCATTTATATATTTTGATCATTTGTATGAAGATTTGCATTACATTGGTTTACTGCTAACCTGTGGAATATCATGGATTGCATGGATATCAGTGATCTAATGACTTGCCTTAATCTGAATAAGACAATATTATGCTAAAGGTCTTTACATGATCCTGTTTTACATGTTACAGCATAAAGATTAATTATAACACATGTATTGATTAACCTCATTGCGTCACCGTGCTGTCTATGTTTCCTCCGGACTTTCATGTAATTTCAGGTGCTTTATTTTTAATTTTCTGACCATATTTTCTGAGTAGTCGATTTCCCATTACTCGGTTGAACTAAGGGAATCACTTTCCTCAAATCGTTTGAGTAGTCTCAACTTATTAGGATTAACAGTGTAGAGGAGGAGAAACAGAACAGGAAAATCTTACACCATGAATACACAAAAAAAAAAAAAAGCATGAAGGTGACATTCTTCTGTGCAACAAGCGAGTGTCAGAAGCATACAGTTGTGCAGCGTCCCCTTGCACTAGAGTGTTTGTGTTATTTTTGTTTGGGTGGCATCTGCTGTCAGAGAGTGATGTTGCACGTTCTCTCAGCTCATCGCTACTGAAAATAGTTTGTGTATAAAAGCAGAAAAATGTCCCAAAAAATGCTGATTATATGCACCAGTGAAAATCATTCAGGTGAGAACAACCCTTAAGTCTGAACAAGCGATGACAGAGTGTTTACTTCAGGGTGAACTATTTCTTTAAATTATTAATATTTGACTTTTGAGAGGTGTCTAAGTGTGTGAGACCATGTATTCCTTATGCACTACACAAATGCTGGGTTGCTATAATCATAATTGAACCATGATGTTTTTTTGTTCGTTTTTATTATATATGCACACACACATTGGTCAATTTAAATGTTTATATATATATATATATATATATATATATATATATATATATATATATATATATATATATATATATATATATATTATTTTCTAATTTAGTTAAAATGTTATTTCTGTTTAACAAATGCTTTGGTGTGAAAAAGTACATTCTGAAATATATAAGGTAATATTCTGTGTTGTTAGTTGGGTTTTGTAATAGTATTAATCAATCAAGGCGAGGCAGTGGCGCAGTAGGTAGTGCTGTCGCCTCACAGCAAGAAGGTTGCTGGGTCGCTGGTTCAAACCTCGGCTCAGTTGGCGTATCTGTGTGGAGTTTGCATGTTCTCCCTGCCTTCGCGTGGGTTTCCTCCAGGTGCTCCGGTTTCCCCCACAGTCCAAAGACATGCGGTACAGGTGAATTGGGTAGGCTAAATTGTGTGTGTGTGAATGTGTGTGGATGTTTCCCAGAGATGGGTTGCGGCTGGAAGGGCATCAGCTGCGTAAAAACTTGCTGGATAAGTTGGCGGTTCATTCCGCTGTGGCGACCCCGGATTAATAAAGGGACTAAGCCGACAAGAAAATGAATGAATGAATTAATCAATCAAAACAAAGTTGGAAAAAAACACAATAGAACCAATGTTGGATTAATTTTTTCAATTACATTGACATTTGTAATCTAACAGTTGTGTATGTACTAGAGCTTAACGTGCTGCAATTTAAGAAAACACCCGCAATTACAAAAAATACCAGCAAATTCCGAAAAAATCTTCATCCGTTTGACCAGTCTGATCTCACGACGAAACGTTTGATCTCACATGTATTTTACGTTTTGACAGTTTAGTGGCTAATTCGTACCAATTCGTACGAGTTCAGTCGTACGAAAATGTACGATTTTAAAAAGGAGGCATGGCACCTAACCCCAACCGTCATTGGGTGATGAGCAAATCGTACATAATTGTACGAATTAGATTGTTACAAACTCATACGAGTTAGCCACTGAATCAAAAAGTTACGAATTGCCGTGAGATTGTGTTGGTTTGACACAACATCTGCTGCAAATCCTCACAACACAAACATGAATAAAACGAGCTGCATTTCACACAACACACAAAGAACGGAACACAATAGAAATGTTTCAAGGGGACCCAAGAACATGACGAATGCCGTTGAAGTTGTAGGAGATCTTCGAAAGGTGAGTTTTTTTGGTTTGTTTGTTTACCCGATACCTGTGTCGTTAGTTTTTATTAGCCTAGATAACCATAACCTCCATAACCAGGATCCGTCACGTTTTAGGGTCTCCTTGAAACATTTCTGCTTTGCTGTGTGAAATGTAGCGTGTTTTATCAATGTTTGTGTTGTGACCAATTGCTGCGCGTTTCTTCAGTTGCTTGTGTTGTGAGAATTTGTGATGCTGTGTTCACACCAGATGCAAGAGGAGCGTCAAGCGCGAGTGATTTACATGGTAAGTAAATTCAAACTCGCAAATAGACATCCTGCGGCGTGACACGCATGAATGGCACAGCACGAATGACGGGAATTGCGCGAATGGCGCGATATGCGCGAATGGAATGGCGCGAAGTGAGCGTTTTGCGAGTTTGACAAGCTTAACGCACGTTTCGCGCAAATCACTCGAGTTCAAAAATCGGAACTTAAGCGGACATTCGCGCGGCGTTAACCAATCAGGAGCTTGCTCTTGTGGGGGCGTGATTGTGACGTTAACCTGTTGTTGGTGTCCAGAGGGGAAATGCTCCAGCCGACACCGACAACAAGTCATCAAACTGGGCTGGGCTCAGTCAGAAGCACCGCTGAAAGCCTCCGTCATCCAGGTTCAGTTTCTGGAGGAGTTCATGAGCTCACAGAGCTGGATGCACCTCTGAAAGGATGCAGTGGACTCAGACAGGACCCTAAACGTATCAACGCTGTTTTTCAACATTCATAAAACACACAAACACTGTTATTTTCTCAATAAAATCCATGTTAGCCATTTAGCAACGAAGCTAGAGTCACCGGGCAGACAAAAGCCCCGCCCATCATGCAAATCCGCGTCTGTTCTGAAGTGAATTTGACACGGGATTGAAGCGAGTAAACTCAAATGATTACCCGGCTATTAACGCACAAATACATCGATTTACCCGCGTGTTCCGCGTCTGGTGTGAACACAGCATAACACATGTGCTTTCAAATCGATGTAGATCATTTCTTAATTTGCTGGTGTTTTTTTTTTTAATTGCATGTGCTTTCTTAAACTGCAGCACGTTAAGCTCTCTCGGCCACTGAAGGTATGTCCATACTTGACCCAATGTTTGGTTACGATAACCCAGTATTTCCTTACAGCATGTCTATTTATTTACGTTTTCGTCCCTGCGTTTTCTTCCTGGAAACGACTGAGCTGTTATTTGAATTAAATGATTTTAGATAAGCCCTTAATGCCATGTCAAAAGCAAATGAAGCCGGGCTGCTTTACATGTGTCCTCCTCATTGTCTGAGTCACTGAATAGTCAAATATTTAGTCAAAGCACACCTACAGTATAGCAGAACATCAAAACAGACATGCTGCACGCTAAATGATGGGTTGTATTTAACACAGTGTTGGGTCAAATATGGACAACCTAACCATTGCGTTAATTATTTTTACCTTGCTTAATTAACATTTTACAACATTTACTTTTACTTTAATTAACATTTTGTATCCCAACTGTTGAATTTGTTCATATTTGACCCAAAGATGGATTGAATTATACAAAACATACTTTAAATCATTGTAAATGTTGCACTGGGTTGTATTAACCCAGACAAACTCAACAGCTGGGTGAACAATTTTTAATTGAAATTACTTTTAAATGAACCCAATTGTTACAAAAACAGACAACAACTAATGCTAGTAAAAAGTAAATAAATGTTACACTCTAACAAAATATTTTATAATAGCACACTGTTGGGTCAAATAAAAACAAACCCATTTCTATTGTATTACCATAATTGTTTTACATTACACTGAATAAACGTTTTTAACTAAACTGTTGTGTTTGTTCCTATTTGACCCAATGCTGGTACAAATATACTTTAAATCATTGTTGATTATGCACTATGAAATAATGGGTTTTATTGACCCAGTCAAACTCAAACTCAACAGCTGGGTTAAACTTTTAATTAAAATGAAAAGTTAATTAAATTTTAAATTTGACCCGATTATCCCCAAAACAGACAACAAGTTAAATAAATGCTAAACGTTAAAATATTTTGTTGTATTAACGTAGTGTTGGGTCTAATATGGACAACTCAACCATTTGGTTAATTCTTTTACAATTCAGTTTATTACAAATTTTGTAAATCAAATTTTGGGTTGGTCAATATTTGACCCAGCGATGGATACCCACGTTTCAGCATTTGTTAGTGTCTACAAAACATAATTAAAGTCATTGTAATTCATGAACTATAAAATAATGGGTTGTATTAACCCATTCAGATATGGACAAACTCAACAGC